AAAACAGATTTCATCTGTATGAACATACATGTTTTAGGCCGGGTGCGGTGGCTCACGCCTGTAATCCAGCACTTTGGGTGGCTGAGGCAGGCAGATCACAAGATCAGAGATCCAGATTATCCTGGCTAACACAGTGAAGCCCCATCTCTACTAAAAATATGAAAGATTAGTCGGGCGTGGTGGCATATGCCTATCGTCCCAGCTACTCAGGAGGCTGAGGCAGGAGAATCGCTTGAATCTGGGAGGCAGAGGTTGCAGTGAGCCAAGATTGCACCACTATACTCCAGCCTGGGTGACAGAATGAGACTCTGTCTCAAAAAAAAAAAAATAAATAAAAAAAGATATACATATTTTTTAACGTGAAAAAATTTTTAATTTAAAACAATTTCCTAAATTGGCTTGCTATTTCAGTCTTAGGTGTTCTCTAATGACATGCAGTGTGATTTCCTCCATGTTAAAACAATGAGAAAATGAAAAATTTCCTTTCTTAGACTTCTTTTACCTGTAATCTGTATGTATATATAATTTTTTTTTTTTTTTTTTGTATCAGAGTCTCACTCATTTTGACCAGGCTGGTCTTGAACTTCTGGCCTCAAGAGATCTGCCTGCCTTGGCCTCCCAAAACTGTTGGGATTACAGGTGTGAGCCACTGAGCCTGGCCTGTGTATGTAAAATTATATTTAAAACCTGGTGGACTTCTTTCCATGTCAATACATACACAGCTTTGTCTGATTTCTAAAAGTTATATAGTATTTTGTGTATTAATACGTAGACGCTAAATAGGATTATCAACAAAGTTGCACTGAACATCCTATATAGACATCTTTGTACCTTTTCTTGATTCCCAGATAATTTCCCGAAAATGGAATTCTTTTATTAAAAGGATATATACATTTTAGATGACAGATTACCCTTGAAAGATATACTACCTTGGCTGGGCGCCGTGGCTCATGCCTGTAATCCCGGCACTTTGGGAGGCCAAGGTGGGCGGATTACTTGAGGTCAGGAGTTTGAGACCAGCCTGGCTAACATGGTGAAACCCTGTCTCTCCTAAAAATCCAAAAAAGTTAGCCAGGCGTGCTGGCAGGCGCCTGTAACCCCAGCTGCTTGGGAGGCTGAGGCAGGAGAAGGGCTTGAACCCAGGAAGGGGAGGTTGCAGTGAGCCAAGACTGTGCCACTGCACTCCAGCCTGGGTGACAGAGTGAGAAGACTCTGTCTCAAAAAAAAAAAAAAAGAAAAAAGAAAAGAAAGAAATACTACCTCATACTCTTACCAACAGCATGAGAGAAATAAGAGACTCTGTCTCAA